TACTACGGAGACTCCAGGCCATATCGCGCCCGATCCCAGAGTCGGAATCGACAAGAGGACGGAGTGGTGCAGAGTTACATCAAGAGGCTGCCCCCCCATGCCGAACCGTGCGGCCAAGACCCACTCAGCCTACAGGACGCCTCCTTCAAGAGAGGCGGACCAGGCCGAGTTTCGACAAATATGGTTGCCTTGATGGAGAAGATCGCGAACATGGCCATCCTGGCCAAGAAAGCGGACAAAACAGCAGACGCAGAGAGGCACGACATGGAACTCATGGTGCTCAAGGCCTTGCTAAATTCCCTGCTGCCCGTCAAAGATCAAAAGAAGGACGTGAGCTGGAGGCTCGACAAAGTCAAGGACAGGCTCGCGGCGACCCAGAGCAGGATGAGGGACCTGTCCATCCAGGAGCAGGAAATCGAGGTAGAGATCGCGCAGCTCCACTCCTGCCAGAACGAGTCAGACGAGTTGCAAGACGAGTTAGACGAGGCTCAGATGGCAGCGGTGCCCTGCGCACCAAGTGGTCCTCCTGGTGCGTGGCCGTGGCATGGGCCGCAGCAGGCACCGTCATCTCACCAGCCGCAGCAGCAGCAGCAGCCTCCGCAGCCACAGTACTTTCAGATGCACGGCGATCCCCAGCCCTTCATCACACCGCAGGGGCAGTTGGTACCTGGAGTGGCGGTACCAGAGGCCAGAAGCAGTGCGACGATGCCCATGGCAGTGGATCCCTCGGGACCGACCAGCAGCGGCACAATGAACGCACCGCCTCCACAACAGTTTCCGCCTCAACCAGCTCAGACTGCGGCCCAACAAGAAGGTGTGACAGATCTTCAGATGATTCAGATATTGAACGGGCTCGATCAACGCCAGGTAAAACAGGAGCAGATCATGAACACGCTGGTTGGTTGGTGTCATCATTTCACGTCTCCAGAGTCGGGGTTTCTTGCAGCGGGCATGGGCGCGCGAACGCCCGGAGCCCAACCAGATCAGAAGGCATCAGCGACAGCATCGGCGGCATCATCGGCCCCTATCACGGGCACGGCCACTCCAGTGGGATCGGCAGTATCAACTGCGCCTCCAGCGGAGCAGGGCACACCCATCAAGAGCGTGAACTTGGCTACCCCGACTGCAGAGAGAGAGACTTCGCAGCTGCACAGCCAGCTCCGAGCACGCCGACTCAGCCGAGATCATATGCCCCGACCTCGCCGACGGAGCCCATGTTCACGCAGGAGGGCCCCTACCTGGCCAGGATGGCGCCGCAGCAGTCGATCACCGAGGACTTCACATCATCTCAGATCGAGAGGGAGGTCCAGAAGATCGAGGAGGCGCACCAGAAGAAGGAGTCCAACGGCGAGGACGTGCCCAGCCTGGGCAGGGCCACCGCCAGGGCGATCGCCGAGGCGGGCAAGCGAGCCAGCAGCCCGCCCTCCAAGATCGCCAAGACAGGCAACGTGACGGGCTAGCTCAAGGGCTTCAGCCAGGCGGGCCAGCTCAACTGACTGGTGAAGCCCAGGCAGCCCAGGCTACTAGTACGAATTCAAAGAAGGCGTCTTTTGCTCTCCCTGGCCCCTGTACCCGTTTTGGACAGGTGGGTGCCTCCGCGGGATCCTGGGGACGCTCAAACCTCTCGGGATCTGTCGGCCAGAGGAGCGGGCTTGAGGGTTGCCTCAAGCCTGTTCTGAAACAGAAGTGCCGAGTCTCACCAACATCTAGTTCCAGTCATCTCAGGCAAGCTTCGAGCGATGGGACACAAAGCGCTCAGAGGCCAATTCGAGGGGGCCACCGTGCAGCAGGGGGGGTGCCGATGGGCGGCGCCAGCTCCACGTCGCCTCCTGATCATCTCAGTGACAGCCAGGGTCAGTGCGTCGACGAGAGTGAAGCAGGAAGTTCCAGTAGCAGTCGGCAAGCGATGCATCACATGCTATTATCCTTTCCTTCTCTTGTCCCCATCCATCATCAGCTTGCCAGGGAGGGCTCCTACGTTTTTGAAGATCTCGCATTGCATCAGCTTGCAGCCACGGGACTTCTCGAGCGTGAAGCTGAAGTAGCTCTTGTGGCTTACCCTCGACAAAAGGAAGCATCTTGTCCAGACGCCGTCCACCTTTTCACCGACGGCAGTCTCTACCAATAGGAGGAAGGGATGGGGGGATGGGCAGTTATCATGATACTACAGCAGCAAAGCACGTTTCAGTGTAGGGGAGTCATGCGGGGGAAGATTCAGAATACCAGCTCCATGGGTCTACAGGCCAGTTCTGCCACCAGCACGACGCTGGAACTTTTGGCAATCCTTTTCAGCTTGCTGTGGGCTATCTCAGCCCAGCCACAGAGTTTAGTCGCACTAGGCACCGACAGTCTGACCAGCATCAGAGCAGCCAAAGGGGGAGCGCTGCCAGCTTCGGACAAAGATCTCGCCCAGCTCGCCCAAGTAGTGTGGGATCTTGCGAGAGGCAAACTCAATCTCAACCTCCAACACGTCAAGGCCCATGATAGCCATCCGTGGAAC